AGCATGTATATAGATACCTTGATTTATGTGTTTATATATCGATATATCATATGTATGTAACCCTATATTTGGTTGAGTTTTGGTTCAGTAATTTGTGATGCAACACAGAATCTGCTTCACTGTGGGACAAGTAAAAGAACTTTCAATCTTAATCCAAATGATAAACTTATGTTGTTCAGAAATCAGATAAACGCATGTCAAATAAAAGGAATTTTGGCAAAACACCTTCATAACGTAAATAGATTTGTATACTTATATACTTTTGGCCTCCACCAAAATTAGTTTGACAGCCCTTATATAGAACTTTTAAATCTAGTTTCTTGTGGAATTTTGTAAATACTGCAACATTGGTTTAGACATTCTTCTAAACAGCTTTGAAATGCACTTTGTATTGTGCTGATATTTTCAATAAAATCAAATGAAGGAGGAGACTTTTTGACGTGGCACCTTTAGAAACGGTATGAATAAATCATAATGTAATGATATTCAGATGATTCTGTTCTAGTTTTCGTGCGTCCTTAGAATATTGTTTTGCATGTTGTGAAGTGTAGTACTCAGCTGCGTATTCATTAAGGTGCTGCTCCCACTGGCCCTTGGACCCATCTGTGCTCTATGTTTATGCTCACATCTCCCGGGACTGTCCCAATCAGGCTGCATGTGCCATTTCCTGTGGAAACCAACACCTGTGTTGCTCACTACCTGTAAGCCGCCCTCACAGACGCGACTCTGACATTCAGTCACAAAAAAATGTGCAAATGTTGTGCTTTTAAACATCCTCAGGGGCATGTACACTGAGGCAACTACATATCAATGTTTGATGCAGCCAAAAACTGTCCTGTACTTAGTCTTTCAGCCTGCTGTCGAAGCAAAGTTCATTTTGTCCAGTGTTTGCACTAGTTTGTGTTCAAACTTGATTGGATTCTATATCTTCCACATGCAGAGTGTACAGTGTGTGACATACTAAAGCAATATGCACAGAGATGATTCTGCTTTGACATCTTGGAGAGGAGTACGAGTCAATTATGCCCAAGTGTTGTTCTTGCTTATCTTCCTCCGGCACCAAACAAGGATTTAGTCAAGGATTTAGGGGTGAAGGGGCGGTGGTGGGGATCATGGTAAGCGGTTCACAACAAAACACTCAAAACTCAAGGGAGCGGGCACTGATTTAAAAATAAATTACAGAAGACGAAGCGCTAACACTCAAGGGTCCTCAGCAGTGCTGGCGTACACAGGTGAAGATTAGCCTCCTCGCTAATCAGAGGAACAAGGCAGTAATTTGCTCTGAACACAGACAGCAATTAGGACTTGGTGACACTAGATTCCCATAATGCCTTTGTGCTTGACGTGGTCAAATTTTGACAGAGGCTATCCATGCAGGGTCAGTGTCCCCCCAGTCTCCTGGCCCTCTTCAGTGCTGCCTCTAAAAGGTCCCTACAGTTATATCTCTCCCTAATGTACTTTAGGCCTCCCTCACTGGCTCCTTACCATTCGGGTAATTGGAATCTCTTACTGTGGCACTTGAGAATAGAAGCTAAAAACGCTATTTGAAACTGCTCAGTAGTCTGTTGTAGATAAACATTGCTGCGTGCTGGAGGTGTGGATGCGCTACATAATGGACTAAGAGTTAAGGCCCTGGTAATACATGCCTTCACTGACTCCTGTGGCGGGCCAGTTGGGAGAAGACCTAATTGTTGTGTGCTTTGTTGCCTACTCTGCACTATTTTACCACCACCTTTATGTATTGGATTGAGCGCAGCAGCATCTTCGGTGGACATTTGTTAATAAGAGTTGTTGGATATCTAGAGAGCAGTTTATCCAGCCCAGTTTTTTATTTTGAAGCAGGGCAGAGAGCATTGACTTTAGTGCATAGTAGGAAGCATTTTGTACAGCTTACCACTCCGAAAGCTCTCGACTTAGGCGCAGGAGTAGCATGATAGGCATCTGAATGATGTTCAAATGGTTGATCGAGCTGCATTGAGCAAGTGGCTTACAATTGTATCACAACCCCACGGCTCAGAGACCGTCAGGATCTTGACATTCATATAGACATGCTGTATTTTTTCCCTTTTTAGACAGTCATTTTAGGCTTTTTTCATGCTCTCTTGAGTCTTTGACGTCTCTGAGTTAAGTATCTGTGGCCAAAAGGCTGAGGAAAATATTGGACTGCTCCTGGCCTTTTCTATTTCATCCTCTGACCGCCGTGTTCCCCATGATTGGTGAAGGAGAACTCTGGCAGTCTGTGTCAAAAGTGACAGCCCATAGAGCCAGGATGAACGCCATCACGCTTCAGACTCTCTCCTTTTTGTGCAATATACCATTACACCCTTCGCCAGATCCCTTTCAATTAAATGTTGTGCTTAACCTGCTTCATCCGACGTTACAGTTGATAGAAAAAGTCCAACTGAGAACTCGGGCAACACAAGATACAAAACACGCCAAAGGAGAGATATCTTTTTTCCTTCGGTGTGTCTCCTTTGATAGTTTCTTGGCAGATGAATGAAATAACCCCCTTACATTATATAAATGTTCAATTCATTCTTTATATTAGAGTTAGAAAATGGGTAGAACTCTAAATGACTCCCACTTTACTCTGGCATGATTTATGGTAATTGGAAATTGATTGTGACAGGAGCACAATATTAGAAATTTTCTCAAATCACAATCTTGTATCAGGGGAAATATTCTTTTTACTGCGCCAAGTCCTGGCCAGTTTGGAATTAGTTTCTTATTTCCTTAAGTGTGATGAAACACTAAGTGCCTGTAGGACATTATATTAGTATTTTAACCAGTAAAGAAAAACTATGAAATGTGGGAAAAGTCTTTTATATTGACGCCGCTTATTAAAAATGTACTGTAGAAATATATATATTTTATATATTTCATACTAATTAAAGTGAATGGTTTATATACACTGGATGAGCCATTAGTTGAAGACAATATAAGATTGCTTCCCCTCTGAGAGGCTCCTTGTAATTAGGCCGACATTTATTACACATCTGTAATCTCTAATTTTCAAGGGCATACTTTCTTATGTGCCAGCCTGGGCTCCATAAAGATCACATGATGAGGCTTGATTGGGATTCACTGAAGCGGCAGGAAATGTTGCCAGCACAGGAGCTACTTCTCTGCTGCCCACATGCTCTTTAAAAACAATCCCCCATAGCACCCAGAGGTGACAGACTTCAACACAACAACTGATGTTCACCTTTTATTTATTTATTTTGCAGTTGTTCGCCGGCCATAACATGTACTGCATTGCATTAACTTTTAGCACTGTCAATGTCGTATCAGTCAAAGCAGCTTTAAAGCACCAGCGTCCTGGGCCGTGGACTGGGGGGAGAAGAAAATTAGCCGCAGTGACAAGTCTGAAGTGTGAGCAGGAGGTCAAAGGTGCCGAGCCTTAAGCAAAGGTGCACTAGCCTTTGTCCGGTAGATTGTAAGGGCCTGCGGGTCCAACAGGAACATTTCCACACACAATATCCCCGAGCTGTCAGTGTGCAGCGGCTGGAACATCCTCTCAGAGAGAGAGGGGGAGCACAGGGGCAGAGGCAGCGAGCGCAGGGAACAGTGGCCTGAAGATCCGTGCGCAGAAAGAGAGAAGGGGGAGGGGGGTGTGAGTGGTGGAGGTGGGAAGGAGCCAAAAGAGCTGGAGTGGGAGGATAGAGAAAAAGCGAGGGGCGAGGAAGAGCAGTGGGGGGAGAGGAGAGACAATGACAAGTAGGGGCTGGCTGGGCACTCACCCATGCCGACAGAGATTGCCATGAGCCATGGCCATTGTTTGAGTGAGGCTCAGCGCAGGACCTGCTTGTGGGCTTCCCACTTTTCAGCACTCTTCTATAAACTGCTGTGTGGTTTATTTGGAAATGAGAGTATTTACACCTTTTACTGTATTTACACCCACTGTTAAACGGCACCCGGGAGACTTCCATCACACAGCCACAAACTAGTGGCACAGAGCTTTCCCTGCAAACTGAGCTGCTCCGTCATGAGGCTGTAGTAAAGCTTTGCTTCACATGTCCCATATAAAAGGCTGCTCAAACAGTGACCTGCACAAGTGTAAAAACACTTTAGGACCGTGCCGTTACGGCACAGCGAAGAGAGACGCCCTGTGTGTTTAACAAAGTAAATTTGTATTATTAATACTATACAGGATAAGCCAATTTTGAAGTGGGGGCACTTAAATGGTACTATTATTTATTTATAAGTTCTGTACACCAGTTAATGGAATTGGCGGCCTGCTTTAGATCCACAGCACAGCTTGAGGTCCACTTTGCAGTAATGCACATGCTAAGAGAGGACCTTCCCAGTAGGGTCTTTAAGTGTCAAATATGGGTCAGTCAGCTTGTGTTGACCTGGGGGGTGGTCAGTAGCGGAGAGAAATTTAGCTGTTAAGTGATGCCAACTCAACCATCGGTAAATTCCTCCAAGCATCAACTCATGCTAAGATGCACGTCCAAGTGCGGCACATTGCTGGCCAGCACCGCTCTGGCCAAAAAATCCATTTATTCTTGTCATGAACTATAAACTAGACCCGAGCAGAGACAAGGCTCCTAACTTCTCCGCAGCTGCATGACTTTTCAAAAAAAAATTCTTTTTTTTTTCACAGAATGGTTTTGCTTTTCTTACAGTTGTTTGAACTAAACTGTTCGCTCTTGATGACCTGGCAATGTTTTCTTTTATACGTTATCAAGCATGCCTCGCAAAAATAAATATATTTTCAAATAACTCTGGTTGCTGTCTTCTCTATTTTCTACAGCATGTTTTTCCTCTTTTACTGCAACAGAAAGTCTTAGGCCCGATTGGCACTCACTGAAAGAACACTGCTTGAATTTCAAACATCACAATTAACAACTTTCTTCCCGCAAATGATGTCTATGCTGCATCAGTGTCACATTATTACACTCCCGCAACACATTTTAAGCACAACAAATGAGCGTTACGGCCGCCCTGCTGATCGCCTTTTTCTCTCTCTCTCTCTCTCTCTCTCACATGCCTCTCAGGAGCTGTGCGGGCCCCCTGAGCTGCTGTGTGGTCGACGATAGCCCCAGCGAAACGAGCCCCGAGTTGCAGTGCTGCGTCCAATGGCTGCAGGCGTACTTCAGCTCGCCACGCACCATCGGGACCCTGCCACTGCCCGCCTTACACCATCCGGCCCTGCAAGGAGGTCCGTCATGGATAAATATTTGCAGAGCCGTGACTGCGATCAGGCTTTCACTCTTAATTGTCAGTTACATCACTTACACTCGCTGGCCAGGCGTGTTATAATGAAGTATTTTATGGCTTTATGGGAGAGGGAGTTCACTGAGTGGAAGGAGGGAGGGATGAGGGGAAAAAGAAGGAGAAGGAACAGAAAACGCAAGGCTGTAACTTGGTTCAGTAATCTGTGGCAGGCCTCACCACGCGTGTTAGTCTTGGCAAGCTTTTCCATGATTCTTGGCACATTCGTTGAAACTGATCGAATTCCACTCTTGACATTTTGAGACAGGAAAAGAAGAAGCATTTTTTTGTCCCTTTTTCTTTCTTTTTTGTTTAATGAGAACATGTGATGGCGGTAAAGTTTTGAATGACTGTATTGTAGCCGTGGCCAGTCACCATGGGCAAGTAAAAAGGGAAAACTGCACAATTAGTGTCAGATTGTAGTCTAAGCGGCTTGAGAGGCGATGATTGAGAGGGCAAACTAGGGATTACTTGTCCCCTGTGTTTGTTCTCAGGAGCAAATCATATTGTGTGGCTTAGACAACTCATTTCTGGAGTAATATCTTGATTATTTTTATTTCAAATCTCAGGCACTATCAAACTGCGCCGCTTGTTGCATTTTAACTTAAATAGTTTGAGAAGTGCTCATTTGGAGTCTGAAGCACACCTACACTTGGAGAAAAAAACACTAATGTATGCGTTTAACAATAGTGCCTGTCTTCCTCTGCAATCAGGCCTTAGTTGCTCTCTAATTTCATGCAGATCTGCAGTGCTTGAGTGATGGCATTTTCAATGAGCAGGTAGTCCATCGAGACCCTGTATACAGCTATGAGTCCCACGCTCCCGCAAAGGCAATGCAGAAATACATCAGGACCAATTACGATATCAACTTTCAGTGTGATTCCCTTCGCCACCAAGTGCTTGTGTACCAGCCCCGGGCTCTTTCAAATCGCATCTCATCTCAAGTCTTTGGGGTTTTAATTAAATTTCAGGATAGATGGAATTCTTCATTAGTACCTGATCTGAATAGGTGATTGTGCCCTGCTCCACCTCACTCCCTCGCCTGTTGTTTTGGGGCTGGGTAAATACTGGATTTAGGCTTGGATTGCTCTCAGCAGTCAGCACCATAGGCCAAGGCAGAGTGAAAATGTTAAATGCGTGCATCTAGAGTATTTGTCTTTTGAGGGATGAAAATAATATATATTTTTCAGTTGATTCACGAAAAAATTAAGGATTAAATGTAGCCTGACTGCTTTACAAATTCCTTCTACATCTCGTCGCCAGCGTCTGCTCGAGAACAAAATACAAGTTTAATCAGGTCATTACACTCTGTGACAACCAACTTTTGTTTGCTCAGTTATCTAGAGGGAGCGCATGAACGAGGCAGCGCTCGGCAGCACTTGTCATGTAATATTGAGTTGTGACCTTCACTTGAAGTGTTGCCATGTTTATTTACACATTTCTGACAAAACAAGCCACTTTTCATATTAGCTGTCATGATATAGCCGCGCTACACAGGTGACATGAAAGGAGACGTGAGGTGCCGCGTTCTATAGTGTCACACAAAACATCACACACAAGTTGAGCTGTCGGAGGCGGCACGCACCTGCACTGAACTACGCCATTGTGTTTGTACGTGCACTCATCTCCCAAAAACATGGGCACTTCTTAAAACGATGCATATTCTTATCTCATTAATTATACATCCATATGTAACAGACGAGAGGATCTTAGTCTCTGTAAGCGGCGCAGGGAAAGTGGGGGGTGGGGGGAAGGGCAGTCTTCAAAGCCCAAATGACTATGTTCCTGCAGGAGCCTGATCTCCCTCTGTGCAGAGCGCGGGGCGAGATGAGACACTCACCAGGACTCGCCCCTGTGATGTGGAGAGGAATTAGGGAAATGAACGTTTTCAGAATATCGAATAATCACAGAATCATCAGCACCCCGTCAGCCTTCAAAAGTATGGATCCCTCCAGACTCAAGAGACATTTTGACTGGGAGTCAAAGTCTTTCCTCCCATTAGACACAAAGGATAATGAGGTGCTTGAATTTCCACAATTGTCTTTTTATTCTCAGAACCATGTATAAGATGACTGTCAGCTGGAAGTCATTGCCCTAATCTATTGCTTTCATTAGCAAGGCTTATAAAATTCAATTTATTGTTTTCCCTTTTTGTTCTTCTCCTAAATTGCTCCCACATACAAAATTATGAGGTGATCAATCATAGATGTCAATATGATCATAATCGCTAGAAGCCTTCGATTAGAGTGCAGGTCACTCTGGCCCTGCCGCCGCTCTGGCCCTATCAGCGAGCCTCGCAGCAGGTAATGATCTGTGACATAATTATGGGATGTCTGTAAACATGTAAGTGGTTCCTCTCAACTTTTATTTAAACAATTGACTCCAGTGAACCCCGATCTAAACAGGGTCCTGACCTCAGACACAGTGTATTAGGCTCTTTATGAAGTATGGGGCTGGGGGACTGCTCTCCAAATCAGTGCTGGTCACCTCACTGACCCGCCTACAGTCTCTGTCACTACCACTGATGGGGGCAAAGTTCTTTAACCTCTGCACGGCTGATAGCAGCATCGACACTTGTTTTCCTCCAAACTGGAGCTGTGAAACCTGCAGAAGGCTGGCGTGGATCTGTGAGAGGTGTAAACAACCCCTCTGCTTGTTGCTCGCTCAGAGAAGGAATCATGAGTGCAGCCTTGACACTGACTTTGGTTGTTTGTCAATAATGATTGCATCAATAGGGATTTGTCATACCCAGAGTGTGGGCTGTGTCTCCCTACCAGTGACAAAGCGATATTGCCATCACTCATCATGTGGCCAAATCCAGCTTCATGAGGGGGAATAATGCATAAAAGAAATTTGAGGGGTGTATCTTATCTCCTCATAACATTAAGTCTGTCTGCGTAAGAGCCCGTCATCTCGCTGACAGCGTGATTATTACCTGAAAAATTATTAAACAGTACCTACGGGCCTTGTTCAAGACAAAGAACTCACAAGGGTGCGCATCAATCAAATCTATCCCCTTTAGGTTTTACACTTATTCCCCCCAGTTTAGGCAAATTGCCTTGTTCGCGTGGCTTTGTGTAGCGGAGAGTGACTATAAGGTAGCAAGGGAGCCTGGGGAGCAAAGAATGTTCACTGTGTAGAAGAGAGACAGGGGGGTGACATTTTTTCACACAATGCCAATTTAGAGGGATTTCACATAGATCACTTGTCATGTGCTCTCTTAGACCATATAAATGAGAGAGAATGGAAGATCACTAATTGAATTTTCATGACTGAGTATGTATATACAGTGCAGACAGACTTTGAGTTCCTATTGATAACGAGACTATTGTTTCAGATTTGGTTCTTTTGTTAAAAAAAGTGTTCACTCCTCACAAGTGCACAGAGTTTGTGACTGCAGTCTTCCAAATGTCTCATATTCTTCTCTCCCCTGTACTATCAGCGCTGTACAAACAGGCCTTTCAGACACTGCCTGCTAATCCAGAAAAAAGATAATACTACTGCTAACGTGCTAATGAAATCAAAGCCGTTAATGTGGTCGCTTAAGCTGTGCATGATTTGAAGAATTCTGCCATTTAAGTGAAGATGATATAATGAATCTACTCTGAATAGAAAGCAATTAAAAGGACAAATTGGTCTGATTAACCTCAAAGTCATCCCGTTGCCACAAATGGTGTGCAACATTCAAATTATTGTTATTAAAAATCTGGAGCAGATTTGCCGTCTTTTTGGCCTCTCTTAATCCTTTTAAATGAAGAAGTGAACTTTTTTAATTTTAGCTGTGACCTTTCAAAGCATAACCTAGATTTTTCTGCTGGAGAAATAATTTTCTCACACCAGCTACTATTGCATGTTAATGCTGCTTCTAAGGTCAAACTGAGGGACATCTATGCATATAGTTGTTTAATGAATTTAGACCAGAATGAAAAAGCACTGACTCTGGGCTGTTTTCATGGCCCCCTGATTAGAACACTGTCGTGCAATATTCAAGCATGTAATTTATGTAGTTATGTAATGGGCTGATGTTTGAGGTTATTCCACACCTTTTATTAGAACTCCAAACTTGCCAACATGTCTAGGCTGTCACTCGCTTGACTTTGATTGATTAAATGAAGTGCTTTCTCTGCTCTCCTCTCCTCTTGTGTCCTATGCGTGTTGCCGTAGACGCCTTCACGAGCCGCGTGCTGCACACTCTGCTCAGGGACGTGAAGTTGGGCGAGACGGTGTCGTACAAGCGGCTGGCGGAGATGGCGGGAAACCCCAGAGCGGTGCGCGCGGTGGGAGGGGCCATGAGGAGGAACCCGGTGAGTGACTGACAGTGATTGACAGGCCTCTCCTTTAGTTACTCTTGTCACGTACACAGCACTCCCTCATTTACATCATTAGCAGTGGCGTGTTTTATATAGATATCTCTTAAAGCCGCACTGCCTCACTTTTTTGTTTCTTGTTAAAGTAACATTCAGCGAACACATCAGACTGCAACATGCTGTCCTTATTAGAAAACATTTCGTATTGGCTGAGTGAGGCTGGTCCTCTTTTTAAAATTGTTGTCTGATAAAGCTGATTTAAAGTGACTGAGACCAAAATACATGCATGTGAAAACAAGTGATAGACCAATACTGTTTTGAGAGGGTAGGATAGGATAGGAACTAGTTGCATGGATTTTAGTACATATTTATTTTGTTCTTGTTTTAAAGTTAGGGACTCCAGCTTTCAAATGTGTTAGTTGTGATTTTATGGAACGTTTATTAAGACTCCCTGGTTATTTTGTTATTGGTGTTTTTGATAAATTTACAGATAGATGCTTTATTGATCCCTGTAGGAGAAATTCAGGTTTCCAGCTGCAGAAACACATCCACCCATACAAACATATAAGTGCAATTATAAACATAAATTATAGACGTTTCTGACCCGAAGGAACAAAGGTAGTATTTGGTTGTAACTTACAAACTTTCATCAAATGAGTCCACAACATGCTCTATTCATAAAACCTGAACAAAAAACCAAAAAAAAAACATAACTGTTCTATAAAGGTGGTGGTAGCGTGTGCATGCGTCACTGTCGTAGGTAGCACAGTATAATCTCAAGTATGAGACTCCCTGTAAAGTGTAGGCGTGCATGTGCGCCGCAGCGAGAGGGCTGCAAAAACACCTCGGAGGTGGAAGTCTACCTGCAGCATCACTGAGCCCACCTTTTGTTCCCGTCTTTACTGTAGATGTTAGCAGTAAATCTCCACTTCTTGTAGGAAACCTGGCCCGCATCTTTTCGCCCATGAATCCACTGTGTACAAAATGGAGGGCTAGAGGGCAAGTGGTATGTCTTCTTTTGATCAAACCCTGTGATCAAAGGCCGTTTAGCTCTGCCCATGTAGTGCTGTGGGCACCATGGGCGTGAGAGGGGATGTTCTGCTGTCTGCTCTCTCACATTCTTAGGCCGTCTCTTGTCTTTGCACGCATCACACATCACCTTATGTCAACAAGCCATTAGGGATGTAAAGATCATCGATAATCAGGATTATTCAGCAAACAATAGGATATGAACGGGAAAATAGTCATTGGGGAAAAACAACACCATTTTATTTTCTATTGTTCAAAGGTTATTTTTTTGTACTATTTGCAGATGCAACCAGTAAGTCTTATTTTAAGCACAGTAGCGTTCAATTATGTGGGAAATAGTTTCTTTTTAACTTATTTTTCTCCATATGTAAATTTGTTTTTATACTTATTTATTAAAGTATTTTAGAGCGCTTAAAAGTAATTATAACATGTTGAAGGAAAGGAATTTTGACAGTTCTTTGTTTAATCATTTTGAATATTGGTTAACTCTTCTTGTTTGTTCTGACTAACATTTGTCCTTGTGACATCACCCCAAGTTTTGTACTGTTCACTATATTCAGTCAGAGCAGAGCATACTGTAGGAACTGAAGAGATTTAATAATTAATTGTGTTTTCTTTTGTATAATTTATTTGGTTGGTTTTTTTTTTAACTTTCTTTGGGTTTTTAGAATTTCCTTATTGTTTTCCTTTATTATATTTTCACATATAGAACATTTGTGTATCAACTTTTTGAGCCAACCTAAAAAAGAAAAGACACCAGGCCCGAGAACTTTGCATCAATCAATGTCCAAAAAAAAATGCTATTCCTCTGTTATTGTTTTTTTTATTATTTTTGAGGTTTATTAGTTTAGTTAATTTTTTCAGTCATTATTCAAACCAAAAACAATGAACTAAAAACTGATTAAAATCCAAAAACTCAGTTGAAAAGGTTTAATGCCGGAAGTTTGACAAAATTCCAAAAGTCAAAGTTGTCAAGAAGTCGAGCAAGAAATAGCAATCCCAAAACAAGTTCCAAATCGCTAAATGTTTAAATTCACACAACCTAAAACAACCATATACACACATACACACACACACATGCCCAATTATCTGCTCTCTCCTCTCTGTGACATTGACAATACATTGTATATCCAACATCCACGTGGAAGCACTCATCCACTCATCATTTAACCAACCAACTTTTCCTGTTAAAATCATCCCTCAGCCCTCCGCAGACTCCCCTCTCCGCCCTGATCCTGTTGCCTCCTCGCGCTTTTCTCGGGCTCGTGTTTTACAGTTGCGGTGCGCTGTGGTCGGGGAGGCTGGGAGCGCGCGGCCTCAGCTCTCACAGATCCACAGTCAGATTGTCAGTGTCAATTACTTGTCAGTGCGCACCGCTCCACTCGGGCTTCTGCTGCAGCCGATCGATCCGCGCCCCTCTCTCCGCGGCACCTCTCTTGCACCAGGATTTGAGTATTGATAAGCCCGGCGTAGTGCTCTTTTCCCCCCAAGTGAAGAGGCAGATCCGGAGGCCTTGAGGGTACCCCCGCGTTGCCTCCAAACCCGGGGAACAGTATCGATCCGAATACTAGAGCTGTATTTCTCTGTCTGCAAGGTTAATCTGGGGCTTGGAAAGTTTTATTGCTGTTGATATGGGAGACGGTTTAATGATGGATTTGGACTGTAACATGCGGCATGTTCAACTTTATTCCCCCCAACTCCCCTCTCCTCTCCTCCCTCCTCGCACTTAAAACAGAGGTGCAGGTGAACACCGGGGCGGAAAGATGAAACGTTATCCAAATGGCAGCTCGTCTCGTTGCTATTTGCAAAGTGAAAGGTCGCTGCTATTTAAGTAGAATCATGCCCTTTGCAAACAACAACATATGCGTCTTGTATCGAGTTTGTTCAAAAATGTTCCAAAAGTGCCTGGACTGCTGTAAAGCACTGCGTTTATCAATCCATCACCACCTCGTCATGCTGACCTTGTAGTTAAGTTAAAGCAGTGTTTTCTAATGAGATAAACAAGAATCCATAGATTAAGATTAAGAGATTCTTTATTTGTCCCGCAGTGGGGAAATTTCAGTCTTGCATCACCAGTTACAGAACTCTGAAGAGGAGCATGCAGCAAAAGATTAGTGAACAATAACTCTATACTCAAATAAAATAATATGAAATCTCGGACGTTAGCATAATAAATAAGCAAGTCTAAAATCTCCAGCTTTAGCAAAATAAAAAAATAGTCTTTTAAAGGCGTAATTTAAATTGACTACAGATGTCTTGTAGACTGTAGCAACAAAAAGCATCACCTTATACAAATCCATGTATTTGCCGTTTGCAGCATGAGACCACACACATATGCAGGGGACCCAGTGTGCACCAGAGAAACAGAGAGGCCTTACTGAACAAATGAATAACTGCTCTTATGACTGCCTTCATTACTACTATGTTACTACTTGTTCTGTTTCTCCTAATCCTCCATTTTCAAACATAAAACACAAATCACAACACAATTACAATGTTCCCCCTAAACCTTTCAGCCTTAGTGAATACATCAAATAGAGCTGGAGAAGAAGAAAAAAATCTCTCACTGTTTTGTATCTTTCGCATCAATAATAAAACTGGGTCGCCGGTAACAATATTCCTACAAGAAATAATTGCCGCGATTCTCCGCTGTGTTCAGAATCCACAATGATGGAAGTGTTTTAGGCTGAGCTTGTTTAATCTTTCTCCAGCCATTTAGTTTACAAAGAACTCGGGACCCCCCTGGCAGTCATGTGCAACAAGAGTAAACGCTCCAGCGACTTCCTCCTCTTAATGATCACAGGGTTATCAGATCTTAATGTTGACACCCTCTGCATTGAATATTCATCCTGCCGCTGTTTTTGCCCATTAATTTTTGATTGGGTCTTTGCTTTACACTATTAAAGAGAGGAAAACATTGATACACCAAGACCGCGCTTATCACCCTGAATGGAGACATGTGCGTGATCAAATCAAAATGGCTAACGGCTCGACAGAAGTGGGAGAAACACAGAATAACAGGCTACAAGTGTTGGGATGAAATGCAAATGACGCACATATCTGTACAGGTGACGACTCGAAGAATTTGAATATTGTTAAAATGTTCATTTACTTTACTCTAATTCAAACTACGAGGTGAGGCTAATATATGACACTTACTACACACAAAGTGAATTATCAAGTCTAATAATACATTGTACTTAGACAGCGCTTTTTGGACTCTCAAAGACGCTTTGCAAAGGTGCAGGTTAATAAGAGAGAAATATATATTCTAAAATTAATTCTGAAGTGGTGGCAGTTTTGAACAGGTGGGTTTTGTGCAGTGATTTGAGGTTTGAACAGAGTTTATTTGTTATAATGAAATTTATGGCACTAACCTTAACCCTTAAAAAACCTAATTAAAAGAAGAATTTGAAAGCGGACTGTAAGCCATCATCATCAAGATAAAAACAAACGGCTTGGCATATTTCACCTTTGCATGAGTCTATAGCAACACATATTGGTTTTACATTATGTTGAATTCCATACTCACCTGTACATTACGTCCTATATTTGGATAAGACACTATTTCTTTTGGTAGTAGTTTTTCATGTTCAAGTTGGTCATCAACATAATTTATTTAAATGAAAATAACAAAGGATTTACTGGTATTATCTTGCTTTAGGTATTTTATCAATGGCATATTCATTGTGATATTTTCTCCCATATAATGTTATTGTGACCAAATTACTCGCTGATTGATGTACAGCACAGTGCAGACCAAGACTTAGGGAGTAGTTAAACAATCTCCAAGAGAGAGATTCTAAAGGGCAATAAACAATTTCCAGGTCAAATTGAGATATACCACATAAAAGCATAAAATGTGCTGTGTTCGCTGCCAAAAATATTAAACTTGGAGTTATTGACCGAATGCCAAACAGCTATTCTCTGAACTCTGCACTACCAAGGAGGAATTTCTCAACATTGATTTTTATTGTTTCACGATCTGTTGGAATAAGCGTCTGTTTAATTCAAAGTCACACTTATTATTCTAATTAATTACAACCTGCTTTGGAATGTTACACCTCTTGTACATGTAATTTTTATTTTTTTTTCCAACCCAAGAAGTGGTGCACTCAAACTTTTAATTAATAAGTTTGTGATTTTTAAGAGGTCTTTACCCAAACCAGATGTTGTCACTTCTAAAATGTGAATCTTACTATATAGCTCTAGAATCACAAAAACCCTTCATGATTAACTTTGCTCTAATAAAATAATACAACAATAAAACACCTTTTTAAATACTTTATAACAACTGGTTAATTATAATACGTTTCTAAGTTCAATATATCAAGGTGTTTTTGACCATTTTTAAGATACTAATTATTTCATACAACAACTTTTTGTTAATGTGCTTAGAAAACCTGACAAAAGTACACTTTTCTGGTCCGTCAGAAATGGTTTCGATATCACATAGATCTAGAATAACAACCTGAACTGACTCTGATTTGTGTTGGGCGAAATCAACGGTTTTGTAAAGTCCTCTGAGAAAACTACTGTTGTGATTTAGGGCGATACAAGAATACATTGAATTGAATTAAGCTCAAGTCATTTAGTGTGGCTGGATATGATGGGGTTTGAATAGTTGGAATCACTGATGCGTTCGAAAAGATATGTATTTATATATATGTATTTTGTTATGTTTTGACCAGTCCCGTTGATTTTGCTCAAGGATCAAAATCACTTGGAAAGCCAGGCTGCATATTTCCAGGGTTAATCAGGGGTAAAACCAACTCATTCCCAAATGCTTCTCGCGACATTCTCTCACCCTTTTCACTTTCACTTTTTCTCTTGTTTACCCCCTTTTCCCAAAAATGGCAAAAAAAAAAAAAAGCAAAAGTTCTTTCCCCCTTCATCCGTCTCTCTCTCTCTCTCGCAGGTTCCCCTCCTCATCCCGTGCCACCGCGTCCTCCCCAGCAGCGGACAGAGCGGGGCATACATGGGAGGCAAGGGCAACCACCTCAAACAATGGCTCCTCACCCACGAGAGCCAGTGAGAGGACCCCAAACCCAGTCTCCCCCCCCATTCATTACCCCAAACGTACACACACACACGGACACAACACCGCAATAAACTTTCCCCCGCTGCGGACACAACTGCATGCACTTGTAAATATTCTCTTCATATTTGTCTTTTTAACTCCTTCACAATCTAAGAATAGAGACGCCGCTTAGTTAATGCGATAGCGCGCACTCTTGCAGAATTAGAACATACAAAAATAACTTAAACAGAGAACAGTAGGAATTACAAACATATGTTCCCGTGGGGTCCTGGTTGCGTTTGCCAGATAGCGTTGGAATGGTTTTTCTAACGCGTTATTATTCCCTTAAAAATATGTCTCTCGCATTGTTGTTGTTATGTGCGATTTTTTTTGTTTCCCATAAGCAGAATTAGTCTTTGTACCTCGCGTTGTTTTTTTAATTTCCTGCCAAGTGGATGCTTTGTTCAACATCCAGTGATAAAGGCTCTGAATTTTTACTCGTACACAAAGCTTTGTAGTGAGGCATTTGTTTTTGTCTTCATTTAGATCTCATTGTCTGCTCTCCCCTCCACCTACTCTGCAAGTTTACATTCCATACTGTACTTGTTCCTTCAGATGTGTGTAAATAAAACATCCTTATTGTCAATGCCACTCTTTTATCACCTTAATTGTATTTAATATAAACTGTATGTTTTTTTTCACGTTCAGTCCTTGTCTCACGAGTAATTATGTTGTATCCGCTCCTCTCTCTCACAGCCGCCTGTATCTTGAGGAGTGTTTCCATTAGAGGGCAGTACAGAACGGGAAACTGGAATCAGCGTTTCAGCCTTGAATTCCTCCTGCACATTTAATCTCCAACTTAAATGTTTATGCGCTGCTTTCTTTTCAGCGCAACACCAGTTAATCCCACTGGGAAGAATTATTTGGGGTAAAAAGGCCAGCAAAGGCAATGTGTGTGGAAAGAAAGTACTTTTATTTAAAACGTCTGATATTGTGCTGTGAGTTTTTCTTGACAATTTAATATTGACCAAGTGTTTTTTTTTTCTTTTTTTTGAATATAAGTAATTCCTTTTTCTCCTGACTGTGTAATGCATTTGGAGTGTGACCCTTCTGGCCTGTGGTAACTCCTCCTCCTCGGTACAGCCCAGGTAGCCTAATAATGCACCCTCCAAAAATAACCTCGCTCTAACCTTTAGACAGCCCATTCAAGTGGCCCACTCACTGAATACATTTGAACTTGGCTGCATTTTTGAATGTGTTATGGAGGAGTTGGTGGCTGTCTGGTGCTCCTCTGCCATTGGAGAAGAGTGTGGATGTAGAGGCAGCAGACAGGCAGATGAAGAATGGGCCTCAGTCTATGCCTTCACACAGGGCTAATGATGCCTGTGGTGACTACAGGCTACAGTCAGCCCCCTAACGAAGGGAGCTGTGACACAGCCACAAGGGGTCCCATTTAAGCCAGCCACACTCTGAAGTGCACTGTAAGCACCCTCCTTTTTTGCTTGTGGCTAAGTAAATTCTATGGAATGCTATGAATTTAGCTGCAGAGATAGTGATGTCTGTAGCACAGCTCAGTTCATGTTGAAAAACAAGTCCAGCTTCAAAGCTACACGGCCTGCCAGTAATTGGTGGTGTAATTGCGTAGGTACTGAGGATTCTTTTCCAAATAATTCACTTTGTATTTCTGCTGCTCTTGTGGAGTTTCAGTGTAGAACATGGATAGCCGTGGTTGCTCTATTTGTGTATTATTTGGCTGTGTACCCCGTCCATAGAACTGCTGGCCCGACATAAAAAAGAATAGCATTACAGAGTTTGAGACATTCACTTCATCTGTGTTGTTAATCGCTGTGAAACCTTTCATTTTGCCTTGATTTGTGTCTGACTTCTCTGGTCTTGAAGATTCATGTGCGTGCTCGTGTGAGCATGTGGCCGTGCGTGTGTGCACATGTGTATGTCCATATGTGTGTGGGTGAAGTGGATGATATTGAGTCTGACTTCATAAATCACCCAGACACTGATAAACTCCCCATGCACCCACACACCGCTAATGGGCAACCCTTAAGGAGTGTGAGTGTCTCGTGCGGCGTTTGATTCAACATTTATTAACCCCCTCACACACACGTCCGCTCACTTCATACACACCCACACTTATCTGGGCCCTGAAAAAGCAGCGTACGCTTGGTGGCATCCGTACACTTGCAGCCAGGTCCTGACCGGCTACACAGTATTAATCATAGAGCTCGGTACTGAGATACATCTATTTTGTTTTATAAACACAATAACAACCTGTGCATTTCCTAACTTTCCTGTGCTCTTCATAACTTATATCCTGACGTCAACTCCCCACTTCCCTTCTCATATCCTGCAACCTCCTCATTATAGAGCAATTTTCTACCCCCACATCAGATCCTCCATCTCTACTGTAAGTCTTCATACATGTCACCTCATCATTCTAATCTCATCTGGCTCTGGTAGAGAAGCAGTGGCTCGATGTAATAGTGTAGCTACACAAAAGCAACTTTTATTTTGCAAAGTTTGAAAAAACGGCTGTGAAAGTTTGGAAGTGTGTGTGAGCTTTAAGCGGCACATAGCTGAGAAGAGCAGCAGTGTGTGCCATGCAGATATGCTCAGAGACAGACGCTTGCTTGCTGATAGTGGATAGACAGACATTAGGCTGCATGGGGCTTGGCTGTGCTATCAGGTTTCCTCCTCCGTGTGGGTCTGTTGGGATAGACCGCCTCTGTGGCCCTGACACTGAGGCACCACGCAGCCAGCCACGACAGCTGCCACAGCAGCATCTAATACCAACACACGCTATAGCTACGCCACGCCACCACTACAAAGACCAATATCACTATAGACAAGTCACACTTTGATGCTCTTTAATGATCTTTGTGTTTTGAGAGCAATGGAATCACAGTGTCACATGTATTTCTGTGGGTAACAAAAATGAGTTTTATGTTGTATCCGATTATGAGGAGGGGGTCAGAGGGCTTGTGTGACTGTGAGAGAGTGACCTTGTACCCCTGTGTCATCGTAACCTTGTGAACTGCTGTGTAGTTCTAGCGTGCTGTAATTGGGAACGGCTGATGAGCGGCCATACATAACGTGAGAGCGCAGGCTGCGAGCGCTGTGCTGTATGTATCAATCTGTGACTCCACAGCTCCTGTCAGTGCGGCCCGGACAGTGTCTGCGCCTGGAGAAAGTGCAGGTCTAGCCTTGGTCATGTTGACGGAGGGGCGGCACTTCAGAGGCTCCAGGACCCCATGGCACCAGTCTCCCCAGTCCCCCAGACAGACTGGGAGCATCTGGGCTCTGTCAGCGCCTCTGGCCCCTGCAGACTCCGATCTATATGAAGAGACGAGAAGTGGATTGGATCAGGGAAAGGGAAAATATAAGCCAGATTCCTCACCCTTTTGAAAATGCATGCCAGTGATTGGTGTTAGTGTGTGTGCATGTGTGTGTGTGTGTGTGTGCGCATGTGCGTGTGTGTGTGTGTCTGCATGTGTGTGTGTGTGCACTAAGCGTGATAACAGGTTGCACTGATTAATTTTGTATGAAATAATATCCGGTTATTGATTAACTTGTCATTGGGAGAAAGGAGAAAAAAAGTTTTTTATAAATTGTCCAATTAAGTATTAATTAGAAGTGTGCATTGAAACTATGCAACGCCGTTCGGAGCATAAACACATGGTGACAGATGAAGATCACATTGACAGATAACGTTCCAGAGAAAGTGAGGAATTTGATCAAGTGGATATAGCTCCAAAGGAGCGCCACATAGAAACTGATACACACTCTTGCCAAGTCTAATTAATCCATACACTAAATTAGGAATATAAATTGTGGTCCCATTTTAACAAGGTCAGTCTTAACTTCTCCCTTTACACTTTATTTAACTATGTAGGAGGAAAAAGGCCCTATCAATGTGCTTTGCTTATTATGATTGACGATTGATGATTAAGTCTTCCAGCTGACACACACCAGCAAAGCCGGTGAGTTGGAATTGGATGTGACACATACACAGTTCTGCGTGTTAGGTAATTCGTTGACGAGGGGCCAAATTCATTTATGGAACAGCGGTATTGGCAGGCATGGACACTCTCTGCAAAAACAACGATAATCACAGAGGTTTGGCGCGGCGTGACAAGGACTCTTCAGGGAAAGGCCCTTACACGCTGCTTTGTTGGCCGTTCCTTCCCAAGATGTAAGATGGGGGGAAACATCCGCCACTGTTCTTAAGCCTGCACAGAGGTTCGGTGATCAAGGAAAGGAATAGATTAGTATAAAACTTTGTTAAATTGTATTTCTCCAAATATACCAAAACCAACTATTGTTGAATTTATGATACAGATCCTGATAGTTCCTCTATAATGAAATATGAAAAAGACCCTGTATCCAACCATTTAATCTCATTTTACGTCTAATTTTTTTCTGCTAATGAGCCTTATTGACAATCAAACAGAAGCTGTCATCCCCCAGGATGAAACACTCCCAGCCCCTGCGTGTTTGTCATAGTGTCCTGGCAATCAGAGCGCCTGCAAGACCAGGCTGGCAGTTAGTGGTTCTCACAGCAGCGCTGCCTGAAAATGGCACACTTCCTGTAGAGTTGCAGCTGCCACCTCTGCTACTTCCATTACTTTCTATAGCATGCAGATGTTGTATCAACATTCCCTGCCAAGGGGGCTGCAATAACTGTGAGATTCATGCCATGTTTCAGAGGCACGTCAATTTCTCAAGTGGCACAATTAAAAAGGGAAATACAGTACGGGTTTTCACAGGCACTAGAATCGGAAAAGGCCTTTTTCACTTTTTTCCAAAGGGGGCTGTTTCATAAGGGTTCAGAAATCCACCCGATTTTTACTGGCCTTTTCCTGAGTGGAGCAGCTCTGTGCGCCTTTGTGCGGCAGACCTGTCGTGACCCACAGCGGATATGGAAATGGGGCTAAGGTTTTATGGGCCAAACGGATTGGACACAGTCAAGCTCAGGGGGCATGAATATTGGATGTTATTTCTGCTCCCTTTTTATGTAATCCATTGCCAATACATTATTAATAGATGATATCATATCCAGAAGTACTGGACAAAGCACTACAGAAGGGCACTATGAAAGGAGCTCTATGTGATGCAGAAAATACCCCAGCAGTGATATTATTTTATCACTGCAGCCTAACACTTTCTGACCAGACACTTCGCTGCTCCATATCATTTTTTGGGATTAAGCAATGTTCGAAGAAGGGAAAGTCTGGTGAACAGTGTCTCTCTACCAGGGTTAAATCCAGCATTTGTGGGTTTGAAACGCTCTGAAACATTGATGAAGTATCAAATGACACCCAAATACAAGTTTAATGGATTTTGAAGCACTGGGATACTTCGCTCATCCTCTCGACTCGCACTGAGTGAAGTGGAAATCTTTTGCCAGGGTCTCAAGTTTTTCTTGCAAAAGCTGACTCCCAGTGTACAGTAGCAGGGGAGCACTGTCTTATCTGATGTAGCGATTCCCAGACAGGAGGCTCTGCAAATGTGAGACTATTTTACAAAAAGGGTCACATCCCCTGTTTTCATTCAAATGCACAATTGTTCAAAAAAGGTCAGGATATCTATTTGAATTCATTGTCATCTCTTTGTTTTGATGTGCTTTGGCTGTGCAGTTTTTATGAGCTCACATCCTACTATTGTTCCTTTTAGCTCCAAACTTTACTACAGTCGAAAACAAAAAAAATAAAAAAATACAGCTTCAAGTTGGTGATGTCTGGCGTGTTCTTGCTTAATTGTACGCACTTAAAACTGGTAATAAAAAGTAGACCTATTAAGCCTGGGATGAAGCAAGTGGATGCATAAGGTAATATTCCGTTTTAAGGTCAGTTTGAATTGTTTTTTCTCCAGGGGAATCAGCAGATTGATAAAGAGCAAACAAAACCTCTGAATGTGTGTCCTCCATGGCCTCAATGAAGGTTTCATTCCTTTATATCGTCCAGCCCAATTCCCAGCATGCTCGGCCATTGTGGCTTTTTCAACTGCTGCTCTCCATTGACTGGCTCATTGTCCAGTGCCTCTTTTGTACGCCCGCTATCACCGGAGCACAATCTTTCACCTGAACGCCACCACGGTGCAGTCTGGAAGTGGTCACGTAAGGCCAGGAGCGTAGCATGCCCGACGGGGACAAAATTAGCAAGCTGCAAGATAAAATTTGATTTATTTATGCTTTGTTTTTTTGTTTTATTATTTTCTTATTAACAAAACGGTTGTTATTAGTCACACTCTGGCAGCTTGCATCAGACAGAGATGTCCAATACTACTGCACAGGCGTATATTATTGAGAGGAGACTTTTTTAAAAATATAACAATGCACAAGCAGATGTTTGAAGCGTGGCCCTGGGCTACACAAGGCTAGTTAGGATCAATATTGCTTTCAATATTTCTTTCCTTTGACAGATAACCGGTACAGAGGAAAGTCTTGATAAGAGTGGCAACATATGGATGCGGCGTGCCTCGCTCCCTTTTGATTGTGTGACCCGGAGACCTTTGCCTGTGTGTGAGACGGACGCACATGCTTTGGTGGGGGTCTGTCAGGCTCTGGTTATGGGGCATTATTGACCCAGGATTTATAAATATTTAATGCACACATTAAGATCATGGTGGAGGGTGGCCATTAGAGTTCTCCAATAAAGAGGCTCTCACGATGATTGAGTGGTATGGCAGAGCCAGGGGCTGCTACACAGAAACCTGCTGAGACAATATACTGTACCTCCAGTCTGCTGCCAGCTCAGGGAGCCCCAAAGTGCCAACCACAGCGCACATATTCCACTGTTTTAGCTTTTAATGAAACCGCCTCAGACACTTCTTAAAGATGACGAGTTTGTACCATTGAGCAGAGACCAGGCACAGAGAAAGGTGATACATAGTAAGTGGCACGTGTGTCTAAAACAGTGAAGGGGAAGATGTGGTCCTATTGTTATCACACACTTTGTTTTTCAGGGGAATAATTTGAAATGAAATGGCTCTTTGAGTGTATCTGTCCTCAACACTATCAGCAGCATTGCCAGATCCATGCATGCCGCTGGACATAATAAGCTGCGATATGCTGATTGCCACTCAGGTAGAGGGCCTTTAATTGTGCATTAAAGAGAAGGTGGCGTTGGACAATGTTGCCTTGATGAGAAATTGACATTTTTTGACCCGCTCTCCGCATCCACTTACGATGCCAGATAAGATGCTCAGTTGTTTTTAAGGAGAGGCACCATTCTTCTAGCGAACACTTGTATCAGTCCGTTTGACCCACTTGATGAGTATAGATTTCATAGTGCCCCCTTTTCAGCGCTCCAACTATGAGTGGTTCAAAACGATACCAGCCCTTATAGACAAAGGATAACCTTGCTCTTTCAGTGTATTGATTCTTTATTAACTAGGTGGCTTAATGCAATGAAATGAGGGATTTGAATGAGCCCATTTGGCCTGCTTTGAATAAAAAGCCTGTTTATGAATGACTACAATAGCCTTTGAAGCACCACTGATGCAGGATATGCTGATACAGGACTGATACAGGACCGGTGCAGGCCTCAATGTGTCACAATGTCAGAGCATGGTGCACTTTTGTTACCTTTCCAAACATCCAATCTAAAGTTCACCGCCAGCTGTACTTGCATCTGCCTGAGTTCTGGCTGTCAGTTTATTCGACAGACCTGGAGCTAAAGAAGTCCACAGTTGAGGAGCTAGTATGTTTTTTACTGAAAATTTTAATAAAACATCACTTATTCATTTCTGTTTCCATTCCAAATGTTGACATGTTTAAACTTTCTTCCCTGTAAACACATGTAAGCTATGTGGCAGAGTCATAAGTGGTGAGTAAAAATGACTTCTATACATTCTACAAAACAGAAAAATACAACCACAGATGGAGTGATTTTTCTCCCAGGTTGTCCCTCATGCACATAGGTCTCTATTGGATCTTAACAACTATCATATGGGTCACAAACAATTTATTTGACAATACAACCAACAAAGTTTTCTCCAAAATGGTCTGTATAGATAATTTAAAATCAATATAAAAATAAACAATGAAGTTTGACTTCCCCTTTAAAAAATGGACAGAGAGTCTTGACGGAGTAACACAAAATTGGAGGATACACATGAATATGCACATTGCATTTTCATCAAATACAAAAAGAAAACAAATGAAGGCAACAGTTCTTGGCTGAATTATCTGTGCTGCATCACTATATTAAGGGCATGACGATTAATACATACATAATGAAAAGCAATATACAAAATTTCAGAGATAAATACATTATTTATAGTTGATATGTTACAAAATTTCCCTCAGTGAGCGCAAGTGTGTATTTGAACAGAAAAATGACAATGGACTACTATATGTCTACATTCTCAATGGATTTTAATTTTGTTTTTTCAATGTTTTTGTTGATTTAAAAGAAAATGAAAAAGACAGATGTATAAATATTTAGCACAAGTTTGGCAATATCACAATAGTCTACAATTTGAACCACATATAAAACACATAAGGGAGTTGGAGCTAGAACGAGAGACTGCTCCTCATCAACAAGAAACAGACTTCACAGTAGCCTAGGAATGCATTAATATACAGTGCTAGCAAAAGGTTGAAAAACATGGCAAAACACACTTGCTTAAAGGAAGCTCTAGACATGGAAGTACATCATATTCATCAACAGAGCAGTGTTTTGTACACATCAGTGTGCTTGTTGAATCAAAGAGCATTTTTTTAAATTTTGAAGATGATTTCTAGCTACAATAAATTACAAAATTTAAGTTAAAATGCAGGAATGAAACATGGTACAACCTTCCCACTAACCCTCCCATTTACTTGTATCTGTTGTACTGTAAGCTCAATTTTCTACATTATATATATCATATATTTTTCCAGTTGAAATTGTCTTGGCCCCTGTGTATTTTCTCACACATAAAAATACAAAAAAGTCACATTAAAAAGACACACAACTGTTGTGAATCTATTAAAAGATAGTTGAAACAGAAAAGCTGATTTTCTGAGGCAAACAAGTTCATTGGCAAATGTACTGTACAACAGTGTTTTACTTTACAACCAGGTGTGAGTCCACAGAGTCCTTCAGTACAGAGCGTGTCGTGTGAGAGTGGGCGTGCCCAAGGCGATGCACAGTTCCAGAGTATACAAAATAAACCCTTCATCATTCCGTGTCCTTTTTAAGGGTGCTCCAATGGGAGATAAAACAAAAAGTCCCACAGAACAAAGTCCGTCTCCATAAATCCTCTCTGCAAGTTTTTAAAGTCTTTTAAAAGAAAAAAAAAACTTTTTTCTTTTTTCTTCATCTTTAAAAACAGAACAAACAGTTGACTATACATGACACCAGCGACTGGCTGTGTGCTCAGGGGGTGCCCTGTGAAGTGGTAGTGTGACTGGTGCTTGAGATGATCAAAGTGCATTTACATTGGAGGGACAACCAGGCCGGACATGGCTGAAACAAAGAGAAGAGGGACATTAGTTCATGTGCCACAGACAAAAAGTGGACATTTATTAAAATTCAAATCTCTTTAGTGTATGAGTTTGTCCGTGTGTGTGTGTGTGTGTGTGTGTGCGCGTGCGTGTCTGTTAGTAGTGTGTGTTATAAACGCACATCTCAGTTAACGGGGAGAGTCTGAAAAGCTCCCTCCTGCTCTGACATTTCAGCCCTCAGCACGCCACTCTTGCTATGTGTGATATTTCTCCTGGCGTTGGGGTAATGGCAAACAGTGGCCCAGACTCCCGGGAGAGCCAGCCATGGTGACGGCGGAGCAACAACACGGTCACTTCCCACAATGCCACAGAGCTGCAGTAACAGTAGACAGCAGCAGCAGAAGCAGAAGCAGCCTCCATTACTGGTACAGAGCGCTACTCCTTGTACCATCACACATGCCCTCACTTCTGTCATTATCCAAGAGAGATCAAACTACATCAAAAGATAGTTCCAGTTATTCCACTATAAGACCATCTGCTGATATCATTAGCCACTGTAACGCTCTCCCTCGGTTTTAACATGCAGTATTTTCACAATTAGGCAACTAGTGAAGTGCTGGGATGATATATTATTATATTGCTCTGAGTATATTTGTAGAGTCATGCTTGAAATGCTTTTAAGTTTGCCAGCGCAGATGATGGCAAGGCATTGCTCATTAATTTCTGCACAACATGTATTAATAAGTATGAACGTGTAGCAAGATGAACTTTAATTTCCCACTTCATTAAGCCCAATGTTATTAATCTTGGGGCACACACTACGGCTAAGCTTGTTTTCAAAGCAATCATGTTGGTCATGACACACGCACAAAACCTAATAAACATAATTACTAAAACAATTCGGAGAAGGTCTTTTCCTGTGACATCAGAGGGGATGTTTGTGTCAGAGGCCGACACAGTGACTCTGCTTATTCTTAGTCAGTTCATCTTATATTTAACCAGGATAAAACTGAGATTAAACATGTGTGTGTTTGTGTGTCATGTTTGAGTGGTGTGTGTTTGCTGTGACTGTGTGGGTGCCAGTGAAGTGCGAGGTGTAAATTGGCCTGTCAAAATGCATATATTGGTAATGATTAATCCCTCACCAAAACGGACAGAGGCCTGAGCAGCGGTATCTGACCAGTAGTCCGTAGGGAAGGGATGAGGGGGTGAGGGGGGCTCACCTTGCAGTCCGTTGCCGTTGGCGCTGGTGCAGGAGGGGGGTGGGGAGGCCTGGGGTCGGACCACAGGGGCGAAGGCGCTCTTTTGTTTAACTGCAGAGACGATAGGGAAGCAAAGGATAGGAGGGAGGGTGAGAGTGAGAACGTGCTGTGAGTAGTGCTCAAGAGGGAGAGGGCAGTTAAGGTAAGACTGGGATAGTATTACTGCCAGGGGGGATACACCACCAGGACTCTCTCTGCATTACAGACCCCTACCATCAGCATCTCCTCTGCTTCAACAAGTGCAAGTGGCATATGTTGAAAAATACATGAAAGCACAGTATCTCTGCCCTGCTGTGAACAATTGCAACCTAAACTTGCTTGTTCCTAAATGAATAGTAGTATTATCATCAATAGCCTTGCAACCTCGTCAGAAGTGATTCATAAAAGTGAAAACAAATGTGGAAGCTGGAATTTGATCAGCCACAGCTTAGCACCGTTACACTGTAGTAGTGGCAAGCTACTCACTTCCATATGGGGAGTTGGCAGAGGATCCGTTGAGGAACCCTGGGGAGCTTGGCACTCCCAGGTTCATGCCGGCATTGCCATAGCCATTCATGCTGTTGCTGACGGAGTTGTAGCTGGATTGCTGCGGGGTGCTGCTGGAGATGTAGCCCCGGGGGGACACACTGCTGGTGTTCCGACTGTAGCCCACTGTAAAACATGCAAGACAGAACACAAAAAGCCAGTCATTTCTCATGTCCACGGTTCGTACGGAAAAAACATACAGTGCTTGAACTACAAGACAGCAGATATAAATATTATTTTAGCAGCAAATAGAATATAGAATATGGAATGCATATGCAAACAAAAACACTATTCTACACAAAAGGTTTACGATTACATAGTGAAGGTAGCAGTGGGAAATAACATTGTAATGATAGAAAGTTGAGCTATTATTTCATTCCATGGCCCCCTGGGATCCCCTCCAGGACACCTGCAGGTATTTGGACCCCACTTTTGAGAGGCCTGTTATGGAGTCCATCCCCATATCACATATGTACCTTGGTCATTCCCTTGTGACTCAGACACATTGACTGCTAGCTGGCTGCTGAAGGAGTTGACTCCCATCATTCCGTGGGAGGCTGTGTTCGCGAGTGAGGGGATCTGGTTGTGGTTGCGTGGAACGCTGTACAGGGCCTCCGCGATGTCAGCTGCCCTCTTCAGAATGATCTCCTGAGAAGCAAGAAAAGCCAGAGGTTTTGTTATTTATGGTATTTTTTAGCTGTGCTTTGCTTTGAAGCGTGGTTCATGGCTATATGGTAAACTCACAACTCATGAAGCCTACATTGTTCCATATATAGTAGTGAAAATACCCTTTGGTGGTGTGATCAGTTTCACATTTAGCTGTGGACTAGAGGTAGCAGCTGTAAGAATACTAACCTGATTGTTGTGGGGCATTCCGTACAAGGCTTCTACCAGATCTGCTGCCCTCTTGAGCAACACCTCCTGCAGAGGAAACACCAGAGTTAGTGAATATTATCATATGTACCTGCAGCACAACACCCCCTTCCTTGTATGTTTACATTCTGAAGACAAGTCTAAATAAAAGCCATCCTCATTTAAGAGGCACCCTGATGCATTCACACAACATTACTTTGCCTCTTCCAACCATGCAGAGCAGTGAATAATGTTCCCTATCTTAATTAAACTGGCATCGTCCTTTAAAAACAACACCTCAGCCTGCTTGTGGGCTACACGTTTGCTCCCGAGTTCATCCTGCGTCCCCTCTCTTCAGAACAATAAAGTGAATTAGCTCTGGGTTAATCTAGTTCTGTTGTAATGACATTAAGGAATTTTTCAATTAACCTCTTTGACTGGCTGTTGCAAAGGACTTCACAAATGACTTCCCATCCAGCAAGAGCTGGGTGCTTGTGCCTTGGGGACACGGATGCTCAGGATGTGGTCTTATCCATGTCTGCAAGCTTGCCCCTGCTTGACAATGCGGATTAGCTGTGTTGCTTTGGCTCTTAACACTGAAAATGAGTTGGCCCTGGATCCCGTTCCCCCTCTTAGTTTTGGGCTTTGAGCTAGGTGGGGTTTGGCCCGTTTGTGTCTTTATCTGCTCTTTGAATTCACCACTTACAATTAAATCCCTCTCAAGTAGGCAGACTGCTCGCTTTGTCTTCTATAATACAGAAGGCAATATGCTGTATGAAGACCCTCTCCTCCATTTAAAGTGCATCTAATCTGACAAAGGCAAAAGCAGACATGGCAGTTGCATGTTTTAAAATGCTTGCTTGTTGTCACCTGCTGTAGAGCAGAGATTTGTCAACTGTGCTGTTAGAACCCTGGTTAAAAGCAATGCAAATCTGTCAGCAGAAACATCTCAGATGGTGCTTGTTTTCTTCCCACATTGGCGGTGTTTTCTTTTGCGGGCCTCGGTAATTTGTCTGAAGTGTTCCATCACTTGGCAATAGCAGTGTGGGATTAAGACGGCAGCTGCCGTAAATGAATGTAAACACAGCCTTCGCGCCTTCAAACAGCGGCCTCGAAGACTTGGCCTGCCTTTCCAAAGCACAGCGTATGTAGTGTGTACGGCCGTCTATGGGCCCTTTCATCCTGAGAAGCATATCTACCACATTCCTTGATTTATCAAGATGAATCACTGCAGAAGCCACTTCCAGCGTATGCCATGCTCTCTTATAGAAACATATCGCTTAATCCACCCCAAGTTACCGGATGGGTAGCTCTTAGAATGGGCATTTACCTCTGAAATTGGTGTGTATGCTCAACGTTGCATGCATCTAGTTTGCATACAAATAAAGAATTATGGTTGTCGTGAGGCAGGTAGACTAAATGAGAGGACCAGCTGTCTTGATGTGTTCTCATCAGGCAGAACAGATTTCTCTCTCTCTTGCTGAGTGAGATAAAGTGGTTTCCTTTCTTTTTGTCTGCAGTTAATAATTACCAATAATCTATTCTATCATATTTCAAGATCTCCTACATGGCTCTCAATTTTAAACAACAATTAAAGCAATTAAGACTGTCGCGTTCGCAGCCATGTTTCATTCTGTGTAAACGTCCTCTGCCTGCTTGTCCATATGGTACTTTGCAGCAGTGACATAAGGACAGCTTGGAGAAAGGAGGAGAGAAAGCAATATTGCCTCTCATCCTTAATCTGTCGTTTACCGCGTGGTGTCTTAACTAACCACGCTGACTCGCAAGGCTATGCTTAAGTGGCAACCTAGTCATATCCACGCGTGATGAGAAGTGCTGCTCCCAATCAACGGAGAAGTTTGTTTTCTTCTGACGAGAAGCTTTCATGCGTATCGGCTCATGCTGTGAATACGATTAGCACGGAATAGCGTTCTGAGGGCATTTCCATGTAAATCTCAATACTACTCCAGTATAAGTGTAATTGGCTTTCTTGTCATGGAGACATATCAGAACACGACATGTTAAATTGAAACAATTAAAGCCTTCAAATGAATTCTGCTGTTGTATGACAAATGCATGACAGATCAGGGCTTTTGTTTGCCTCATTCTGCATAAATAGCCTGCTTTCAAAAAAAGAAATCGGCTGCCCTAATGATACATCATCTCAGGGATCAGGCTGTTTGGGAAAAATGAGAGAAAAGCTCAAACAAATGATGTGTTTTAAAAATGTCTTACAATAAGAGCCAAATGTGAGTCTTGGAGCAGTAGATTAACACAGAGCTAGTATTTATGTTATCACAGTTAATAAAAGAGGCCTAGGTTATGTAGCTTGGAGTGCTAATGCCATTATAAAACTGTAAGGCAATTACTCTGTTAGCTCTAGCCCGAGGTAATGAATGCATTTAGAAGCATAGGGCCATTAGATGAAGGTACTTCAAAGAGCACAGGAAGAGGGATTCATTTAAATACATGGGTAATTGCTTGACATGAGCACATTTGTAATATTTTCTCCTTGTGGATTACGCAAGGAATTGGAAAAGAATGGGCTTATGCTCATTTTGGGAGGAAAGAACGAAATCCAAGGCAATCAGCTTAATAATAAAACAATATTGAGTTTCCACTTTTAATTTCATAATGAATCTAATTTGTTACAGAAGAAAGAAATTGAGTGTGATATAATGTGATATCCAGTCTATTTGTCCATTACTGCCAGAGGGCACAAAATGGTATTATAAATTGTCTTTTTTATATTATGAATGGAAAATTGTTTTATAACAAGATCTTAAAAAGGAGGGTGAATTCGAAAGTCTCTCTTCACTTAACGTGATGCCCGCAAACCAATCTCCTTTCTCATCACTTGACTGCTCACACTTATTACTTTCATATTCACCCTGGACTTTGCATTGAATTTTTATATCTGCACTCCTCCCACAGGGTCAGACTGTCATCTACGATGTTGTCTTAGAATTACGAGGTAAACTTCAATCAGAGGCAGCTTCCCCCTTTTTTTCTCTGTGTAGCAACAATATTAGCGTGCATCCCTTGCTATCCATGAGCACTCCCATATTGGCTTTCTGTCTCCTTACAATTACCACGTGTCTTACTGGTCCCAGGGAGAAGGCTGGTGGAAATCAATAGCGCAGTAATATTATCAACTAGAGGGTGAAGTCATGGGGAGGGGGGGGCTGTAGAGGCGGTGAGTGGGCCTGGTGTCGATTTGCCTTTCTGCTAATGCACAGTGCGCGTCCTCCAGCTTTATCTTCTTTTTATAGAGTCTCGCGGCTCACCTGCACCCTGTAATGGCTGTTCTCTATATGCCGTTTGTGTTCTCATTCCGATTGTACGCGGGCGCCCCAGCTTGCCGCGGGCTGTTTTATTGGGAATGTGCTTTTGACCCCAAGAGCTGACCCTCAGATGGCAAGCTTAACAATGACGAATCACTCGGCGGGATCATTTACATGCCCCCTGAACCCCATATTTGGGTCCATTAGAGAGCAAATCAAATATTTATGTTGTTTATTGGAAGTGCAGGGTTTCATCTCACTCTGTGATTGTTTCATGCAAAGGCCGAGAGAGCCTGCTATATTAAGTATACACACGCCCGGGAAACTAATCTCAGCTTCAGTGTCAAAATCTGTCTCGCTGCCGAGGAAATAAGTCAGGCTTTTTGTAATAATGCTGTATTGAAGATGCTTTGTTTTTCACTTCCCACCGTGTAGATTCTGCCAAGACACCACAGCTTTAAAATTGAAACAGTGTTGTTAAATTGACCGGCAGAGATATTAAAGGTAAGCGTACTTCAGCTTTAGGTTTACAGTTAAAATTAGAGCAACATTTCATGTCTAGGTGTTGTTTCTGCGCTCTGCAGGGACCAGGTCTAATTGAAACACTTCATATCGTGAACCAGGGAGTAGCTGTGTTGTCCTATTTCTTCTCAGTGCTTTGGTCAAACGTGTAAAGCTACCACACAGTCTGTTCTTTATTAAATTGTCCGTTGGACGTTAATGATATTGCTGTGTTGCATGCTGGGATTTAATAGATAAGGTCTTTAAAGGTTTACAGTATTATTAAAACTCGGAGGTGGCCTGTGCTTTACTACCTGCCGAGGGCTTTTGAATGTGCTAATCAGTCATATTATTACACCTGACACATCTGGAACGTCACTCACCAAAATGGCGGCTGGCGGGCAGCAATTAGTGCAAACACACATAAATTTGTATCAATAGGAAATGAAAATTATCAAAGGCAAAGGATTCAAAGGAAACTCTGCGTGCACCTTACTTTTCCTGGCCAGGTTTATCAAGTTGGCAGTCTATTTATGTGCCACACCGGTGTGTCGGAAAAAACTGATGTGGCTTTCAACCGCCTTACCAGGTTCAAAAGAAAAACAATAAGAAAGCCGGGGCATAATAACATGCAGTCTTTGTCTATTAGCTGCAGTAAGACGAGGGGGTTTACGGCACAGGGCTCTGTAAACAAAAGATTAAACCAAATCGAGCTGCAGAAAATGAAAGGAAAACATGAGTGGGGTAATGAGGGTGCAGGCGTCGTTTCTGACCAGATTACCATCTCCACAGACTACTGGAGAGGAAAACGCCTGATTGAGCTATTTTACCACACAGCGAGTTTACGCCTCTCTCCCCGCACTAAACCAACACCATTACCACTCTGGTTAGTGGGAAGCCACATATGTGAGGCAAAGCTGTTCCGCTTGGGGGTCACTGTGCCGCAGCTCAGGCTAATGCTGTTTTGTTTATTTGTCCCATTCTCGCTACTCCCCGTTCTGTTGTTTTCTGTGTATTTTCCCAATGCTGACCTTTGGTAACCTCTCCGGGTCGCCGGGGTGTCTGGGGATGACCTTCTGCAGTCTCTGGAAGCCGTAGTCGATGGTGGGCTCATTAAGGGCTGCAAAGAAAAAGAAGATGGAAATTAGAAACATTTTGGGGTTAATCTTGTCAGAAATAGGAAGAAGCTAATTGAGAAATCTGTTTACAGTACAGAAGTCATTTCAGAATGCCTAATTTGACAGAAAGCTCAAGGGGAGAGACAGTGGTTTATGAAACGTCAGCCGCTCCCGGGCCTCATGATGGAAAATGACACAAGTTCCTCTGACACTCGTGTCACTGAGTGTTATTCCATTAACAGCCATGATGACCTACATCAGTGTGAGAATCCTTCAGATGAGCTGCACTCCTCCTTTTTATCTGCTCAGGAATATTGACTACAGCAAACTACATAGCCGGCCTCTTTTAATCTAACAGAGCTTTAATAATCTGTGAAAGGCTGTCCACACATTGATCTAGTGTAAGTTGCTGTCATTTCACCCATCTCCTCCGACTGTACTGCAACACTGGACCGGTGAAATACGGCCGCGTACCCCACAGAGCCATTCATCTCCCACCCCTCAAATAGTAATCTGGGGCACGAGGCATATTGGCCGATGAATCAGAGCACAAAGTAAATGAATCATAAGAGCGACTTTGGTGAGAGCGGGGCGTTTTATGTCTGACAGTCCTAATGGGTAATTGAAGGCTTCCTTAGCGCTGAGGTTGATTCTAAACAATCATATGTGAGTCACAGACAGGACAGTAGCAAAGGGAGGGAGGGCAGAGGCGAAGCGGGTGGGAGGGAGAAACGTGTAAAGGGGAAAGGAACGACTTAATAGAGAACATCACTTCTCAATGTAGATATCATTTTCAGGAGAGTAACTCCACCGTGGAAGGCGCTTCATAAATCAATGGCTTTCTATGGAGACTAATAAGAGCTGCCTGCCTCTATTCATTGTTCAGCCTGTAATTTGGCCCATCACTCATTACTCAGCATGTAATTTCAGCATTAACACTGCACAGGCCGCTGAAGACCAGTGCATTTCCCTCACACGCACACTTGTCAGGGCATAAAAATGAGCAGTTCTGCCTCATAGTTTTTCTCTGCTCACTCTCCTCCAAAGCTTGTGCCTCATGCTCAGCTCCCTGTGTGTCCTCGCGCTCACACCGGCTCTGCTCCTGTACAAACCCGAGTACAGTAATTGCCAACTCGAGCATGACAAAATGGAGCAATTATGTGTTCAAGCATGGACAATATAGGGTGCTAATCGATAGCAAGGATCTGGGTTGCATGTACAGGGTAGTCCTATTGGCGAGGCACACCTGAGTAAGCCCAGCACCAAGACAACATGCTCTGCTGGAAATCTGATTTGACATGTCATCATGCAACCAGAAACAACATGGTCGCTTGGAATGTGGAACGCTTGGAACGCCATCTTCCCCTTAATAAAGGATTGATCTGGACTATTGATTGTACATGACAGGGCTATAGCCGGGAATTTGCCCTTTTTCTTTTGTTATTTCTACCCCCATGCTTATCTATGCACTATGGGGCTCATACATGTATACAAGTGTACATGCAGGGTACGTGCACAGATGAATGTAAGTGCACGTGTGTGCTGCAAGCCCCTGCCAGACCCCTCTGCTCAGTGTGATGTAAATTGTGTATGTGTAAAAAGCACTCCATAATCAGGCCATCCATCATCAGAGGCTGTCAGTGGGCCCTCTCAGGGTGATACATCACGCTCTCCTGTCCTCTGCCTCAGCTGGGGCCTACACAAGCCGCCAGGCATGCTGGGAACACAGCCGGGGAGACGTACAGTATACAGACCAGACCTATAGGCTGAGAGGGTTTCCATTGATAATGATGCCTCTCTAAGAGAGGGCTTACTTTCTAAACACCTACAATAGTGTGGATTCTTAAAACAAAATTGGATCAAATTTGAAGTAATCTCTTTGAACTTAACACCTATTGTTTCTATCTTTGTTAGTCCCATTCCGAGAGGCAGTCATGATCTAGGCATGTCGACATGTCCCCATCTCATCTATCATGGAGATGATCTTTGTAACAACCCCAGCGTAATGAAATTGGTGACATAGACCGCCATCTGCTATTGATTTCATGCAAATGCTTTTGACAGTTGATGGAGACTTGCATTAGTGCTAAACGGTGCTGTCAGTTGATGAGTTGACAGTTTTGTAGTCATAGCGTGTACCCTGGTGCAGACAGACAATGTCAATAATCCTGTAAGGGGCGCTGATGATATATACTGAGCACTTATTCATTCACCACTATAAAAACCTGTTATGTGTCAACTCCCTGCATTGCACAATTTTATTTCAAAGATTTTCTTTTACATGCACTTTACAAGAAGCACATTGACGTTCAAGAAGTTCTATTCATTTTTCACACTTTGCCCCAAACTTCAACTTCCATCAAACTCTCTCTTGTGATGCCCTCGTTTGACTCCACATATGGCAAAATATGTTGGACCCGCCCCACTCCATACAGTGACAGAAAGAGAAAAAGAGACATGGCCCGGGCGTGGAGCAGAGTGAGGAAGGGGTGTGTGTGTGGAGAGGGCATATGTCTCCCCCCTACCCCTTCCTGTAAGGGTCTCAGTCCCTGCGAGGAAACATGAAACCCTCCGCACACATCCCATAAATCCTGCTCTGGGTGGGGAGTCTAGCACATAGGAGAGAGAGGGGGGGCGATGAGGAGGGGCCGTGTGGGTGTCGGGGGAGGGGGTGGGGGGTCACTGGCACGTTCCAGTCACGCCCGCTTCCCGGCCCGCGGCCAATCAATACCACTTTCCTGTTTTAGAGGCGGGTAATTATGAGGTGGAGAGATTGTGTGACCTCTCACCCCTGCTGCATTACTCGCCTGATATTAAGATAAATTGCCTGATTTTGGGTAAACATATGCTGCAATTCAAACTGTCAGCACTGGTTTGCTCAGGGATAATTTGTATTGATCTCCTGGCTTCTTCCCCATTTTGCTTACTGACCTCATGGATAATTAGAGAAAAAGAGACACGGGGAGGTAAGGCAGGGTTTGCATTTGAATACGCTGCGGTGAGGATCGAGAGCACGGGGTGGGAAAAGGGAGGGGGCAATATCGGACATTATGGACTAATAGAATTTTCATTTTCTCTCATCTTCTGTTCAAGGCTGGACAGATAGCATCGGTTGTTCAATTACATCACTTGACTTGCGTATTCCCTGATTTAGTCCGTATACAGTCCATATCCGCTTCCTGACGCTTTGTTTTGATGTGGTGAATTTACAACAGGCCCCAATCTAATTCCAAAATAAAATATTAAAACGGACATGTAACGTATTTTAAAACATGCAACTTTGGCTGCAGGGCAGGAAATTTCAATGAATTCTCTCACCCCAGAGACCGTATGATCACGTTTCTGAATATGAGAAAAATGGAATGCATGACTTGCTCTCGCCGCGCAGCTGTGATCGTATTGTTTCCCCCCGATTTTTGAGTATTGCGCACAAGTGGCACAGCTTCAGTGGAATTCTTCTTCCCCGAGAATGTGCACTTCTCTCCCAATCTTATTTTGATCGGGCGCCTTCATCTGCCCCAGCCCTTTTATGTGGCTAACATGTTTTCTTGTGAGAGGCGAGAGTGGAGCCACTTCACTTAAAATGTAGAGTGGAGGAGCATTTACACGGCATGGGCTGCTCCTTCTCAGTGTTCTCTGGAAATGGGACATGAGTAACCGCTCGCTGAAAACCCTGTAACATGCCCCACGTTGGCAGCTAGAAGTGCTTACACGGCAATACACCGCTGTGCCCTCGGCCTGCACGGGAGAGCATCGAACACTCGTATTGACTTACAGTATCGGGGTATAAACATAGGGAAATGTTTGTGAGCAGCAGTAAATTTAAGGGAAATTGTTCCTTGTTAAGTCTATGAGGCCGAATGGGAGCCTGCACAGAGTACGAGCATTCCTGCCAGCTATTACAGCTTATTACGATAACTCTATCTTTCCAGGAGATAAAAACCTAGCCTTGTTGCCATTTGCCAGCTATTACTTTCGCTAATTATACTTAACTGCTTCGAGCTTATCTCCACTCCTCCTACACCATTGAGCAGTTATTTTTTTCTTTCCCCTTAACACAAATTAGAGGAGGAGTGGGAGTTAGAAGGGGGGAGACAGATAAACAGCACAGGCAGAAGTTCATTCAAGTGTTATTGCGTTTGTGACTTGTCAGAGAGTCTGAGTGAACCTTGTAGGCACCTGCAGTCTGTTAGCGGTGACCTGTCGACTGGAGACACTCAGAGTTACAGGAAGTGAACACTGAGATACACAAAGGGTGAGGTATTCACAAGTCATGCTGCTGCCTCACAGGAGACACATGTCCACTGTCAGGAGTATACACGCATGCAGATAAGAGGGCCATCTGAAAACAAACCAAGTCCAAGGGATATTCACAGCAAACCCACGCAGAGCAAACCTTGTCTGTTTTAACACTGACCATATCCACTGCAGCAGTTATCACTGAGTGATTCCATCTCCAGCAGTCTCAAGATGAACAGGAAATTAAAATTTCAAAGATCTGCAGTTAAGATAAATCAATGGAGACAGATCAATGTTCATTGAAATTTCATGAACTTTGAGCCAATACAGATGAAAAAAACTAGACAGTTACAGTCTCCAGCAGATATTGCTCCTGCAACAGATAAAATGTAATTAACACGGTTAAAAGGGAGCAATGTTACAGATTGCACATCCATAATTTCACACTCCCTTCATTTCGCTGTTATATTAGAAAGGGCCAAAGACACCTGTTCAATCCTCTTAGATGACATCTAAAGTATGAGTGCCACTTCTCTAAGGACGCCGGCAGACTTTCACACATTACCGACCAACAGAAATCAAATGGGTTCCCTTCACAGCTGATTGCAAGCGCAAATTAATATTGTAAAATGAAGATCAATACATGGACGGGGCACAGATCGATGGCGGCTAAATTACGGCCGCGTTTTCCCCCTCATTCAAGATGAGTTGTGTTTTCCTCTCAAAGTCAATACCTCGCTGCCTCCCTCATTCATTTCTCAAT